TATTATTTATATTATATATTATTTATATAGATATAAAGAGTTTATATGAATATCAACAGGAAATAACCTTTTATTTTTACAGATCTTTACAGTTCTTTGATTTTACAGTTCTTTGATTTTATGGAAGTTATCAGTTAGATATTGGATACAATGGATATGTTGGAGTCAACCCTTGCACAATTTGTGTGATATCTGTATGAATAAATAAATACTAAATTGACATATATAAATATTCATGAAAAAAAATATATAGAAATTATTTTTTATTATTAATATTTTTATAATATTACACACTTATGTCGTGCTTTTAGTATCACAAAAAGTGGAGTTTTTAAATCTATTTCTACAGAAACATTATATTATTAAAAAATAAAATTTTTTAATAATATAATGTTTCTGTAATTAATAATATGTATCAATAATATTTTTGTAATTAATAATATTTTTCTATACAGATATAATGAACAAAATGACGAAAATGTATTACTGATTAATAAACGTTGTATCTTCTTTCTATGCAAACTTTATCAGCCTTATATAACTTTGATACTAATAAATATTTGATATAAATAAAATATTTTGTATCTTCTGAAATATCTTCTAAACTAATAACTATTCTTCCAAATTTTCTACTTCTTCACGTTATATTCTCTTGGTTCGTAATTGTATAATAAGTTTCAATAGTCATAGTAATTCGTTCTTTTGCTATAATATCACGTTCCATAAGTTGAAGTTTTTTATTATAATATTCTTCATGTATTTTCACATCGTTGTTCATATTTGCGCTTAGATTTCATATATGAAAGTGTTTTCAAAACATTCTTGTTTTGTAGCATTTTATCTGGATTTCTTAACACCTTATAAAATACAATTTATTTATTAAATAATATGGTACATTTATAAAAACAATTTACTATTCAAATTAAATATTACTACGTGATGCCAGAAGATTTGCAAGTTATCACCGTGTCATTATCCATTGTTAATGCTAACATTTCATGAACCTTGCTGCACTTCATCAGAGTGAGAAGCGCACTGATATTGATAATATCAGTTTCGCTAGGATAAAATGAACAGCAAGATTCATGAAATATGGCATTAGCAATGGATAATGACATGGCGATTTGAAATAAATATCCATGAAAGCCTCAAAAGTATTATGAAATATTACTAGATATTATTGCAGTTTTTATATTGTACTTGATTCTAGGATTATTCAATGTATTGCTATCCGTATTCATTTCTTCATTTACCAATTCTGGTATAAAATCAATACTTCACTAATTCTGTAAAAAATTAATATTTTTACAAAAAATTGATATTTAAAAAATTATTGTATTTCACTTCACAAATATATATATATTTTTGTGAAGTGAAATACAATTTTTTACAGAATTTTATATATATATATATATATACAGGGTGTTTAGAAATAATCGGCAAATATTTCATAGGCAGGTAGAGTGGACTAAACTGAGTCGAAAAGTCCTCTACCATTTTGTAAATTTTCCCAATGTTAATGAGATATTAATCCTTAAAGATAGCCGAATGCGCTCTCCCGGCCTACTACTGCGAAGTGTATATGCCTACCGACTTGGCGCGCGGGCCTTGGGAATTGGGGATTGGCTGGCGCCCCTTGCACATCGCCGCAAGCCTCCATAACTCGGATGGCGCGCTTGCCAGGCTATCCCCGGTCCCTAAGAGCCGAGATTAATATCTCGTTAACTATTAGGGAAATTTACAAAATGATAGAGGACTTTTCGAC